TTATTCTTTTATAATTCATCTTTGTATAATACAATCTTAATTGATTTTGGTGCTTAATTTTTAAATTTACTACAGGTATTTAGAATATATTAAAATTTAAAAACTGTAACCTAAATACATTCAAACAAAACTATACCATTTGTGCCCCTCCTTTTATTTTAGGACCAATACAGGTCAAAATTTCTACTTTTCAACTTGAAAAAAGCAGAAGGGCATTGGCAAGAGAAAATAGGTTGAGCAAAAATATTTTGTATCAGGGAAAGGTAACGAATGGTAAGTGTTGCACTTTGGCAAGATATTCATGCTGCCTTCACTACCCACTTGTGTTTCACACTAATGTAGGATCCAGTCCGAATATACTGCCAATATCATTGGACGTTAATCCAAATTAAAATATCACATAATATTCTTTACCAATGATATTTTACTGGAATACATGTCTTTGATACATACGTTTCTTGTAATCAAGAAATATAAATTGATTGAATGAGTTGACTTTCTATCAGTTTGATTCAATTTCATGAGTACCTAGTGATGGCATCCTCAACAACACCTTTAAAGTCCATCGGGGAGTCGCTAGACTCTGAAGATGGTGAAATTGGTTCAGTTTCCAACTGGGGAACACTGCCCCCATTGGACCATCTGTTGCTTGATTCATTCTGGAAGGGAATGTACTGTTCTTGCTGGCGTGACTGAAAAACTGACCACGGGTTCTCCGAGTTATATCCGACGCCATTTGTATTTTGGAGATAGTTAGATGGCAAAGTGTGATTATCCATGGGTTGTGCATAAAATGGATTTGAAGAAGTCCTTTTATCAGGGTTATTGTAAATAGAGGCTGAGGGTACATGTAGGTCCAATGGCTCCTGGTACGTATCTTGACTCTGAGAAACCGAAGGAAAAATATTTTTGCTTTGTTCTGGGTATGGCTGTGCCTCTAGAATCGGCATATCAAATATGTCCTGTAATCCCATTTGGGAAGTCGACTGCTGTAAATTATTACCATGTTTTTGCGAATCGAAGTCAAATTTCCGTAAGAAATCCAATGTTGCTAAGCTATTCTCTTGTTTAATTGGTTTCACATGATTCTGTTGAGGTGTGGTCGACGGATACTGATTTTGATATTTTTGCGGGGTGATCAACGGAAAGTCATTTTGACTTTGCATCACCTGTGAGGTACTAGGCCGTGCAAGGAGATCCGATAAAGAGTCGGTTGGAATGGCATTACTATCTGGAATGACTTGTCTTTGATTTAAAAATGATTGATTTGGAATGTGTGGGTTCAGAAGAGGTAATCGTTTTGGCATGTCCATGCTTGATTCATCAGACTCTTCAGAGGAGGATGAACTATCATCATCAATGACAATAGGTATTGAGGCTTTCTGCTCTTCAGTAAGCATACACTGTAGTTCATCAACACATATATCAGGCATCAAACAACCTTGTACAAAATAAACAGAGTAGTTGTTAATATTCAAACATTAAAATTGCTTGACATAAACAAATTAATTGACAACATATGTATACATCCATTAATACAAATACATATATTTGTGTAATTGTATCACCAGACTAATTTTGTTGAGGGACCCACTGTTGAAAGCTTTGCTTGTTATGGTTTTCAACCAAGATTGATTGATATCAAAACAACTATTTTTACAATACAGTAGGAAATAATACAGGCCAACTAATTTTCATACATATTCTATGTCAATCTATGTCAACACTATTTTTACAATAATAAATAATACATACCGACTAATTTGGAATCATCCTCCAGCTTGACACGTATGATCTGCATTTTCGATTGTGACCCCGGGTGACGACGTAAAACCTGTTCTACTTTAGACCAGACACTTAACACCGATCCTGTGAGAATATGATAGGGTGTTTTACGTACACCATGCTTACATTGAGAGGTGGATGTTGTCAGCTTACATTTACCAGTCCTGTACACAAATTCAACAAAATCAGAAATTGTGATTAGACGATTTATTAATTAATAAGTCAACATAAGTCAAGTAACATTATATCTCAGCTGCAAAGTTAGGGATTTGAAAATCTCATCATACTGTCCATTTCATCAATTTATCCATAAAGTTTAGATCACAAATTGTAGAAAATTGTACGCATTTTATGGTAAAATACATGATATGCATTACTAGAAAGCCAAAATCATCCTCCTCCAAATCATAGCATCATCACAATATCACCATCAACACAGACATCACTACCATTTGCTTTAAAAGATTTATTATTGATTCATCACTATCAGCATCATTATCATCATTACCACAAGCACCATCCTCCTTACCATCGCCATAACCAAGTTACATTACAGCTTTTATATTTCAAGAAGATCAGAGCACATGAAGCATGGAGCACAGTAGATCATACAATAACTTTCTTTCCCCTAAGGATCTCTTCTTGTCTGAGCTACCTGGTAAACCATTACCAGCTACTCTCATCTGTCCACAACAGGGGCTGTATGGACCAGTACACCTGGGTAACCCCTACTCGTCTCGAAAGACATACTGGGTTCCTTGCGATCTTTACCATTATCATCACATAATCATTAGCACCATCATCATCCCTACCATCACCATCATCATCGTCACAACCACCATTTTACCACCACAATTACCTTCATCCCTACCACCACCATCTTCACCACCATCACCACCACACTGACATCACCCCATTCTGTCACTGCCACTAGCACCACCACCATAATTATCATCTCCACTACCAAATACCACCAAACTTCATATGACATAATTAATATTAAAAGAATTCGTAAACAATGGCCAACTGACCGGTATGAATGATTAATATTACAAGAATTCCTAAACAATGGACAACTGACCGGTATGAATGATTAATATTACAAGAATTCCTAAACAATGGCCAACTCACCGGTATGAATGATTAATATTACAAGAATTCCTAAACAATGGACAACTGACTGGTATGAATGATTAATATTACAAGAATTCCTAAACAATGGCCAACTCACCGGTATGAATGAGTGCAGTGTATTTCTGAGTGATCATACTGTGTCTCCCAGTCTGACTTTGCAAGCTTAGGAGGCACCTTTGTATACCTCAGATTGATGTCTTGGACTGTTTGTACTTTACTGGCACAACCAGTGCTAGGCCGATACACCAGAAAATGACCTGCTGATGCTTCCTTCGTTAGAATAGCTAGACACCTGTCATTAACCCGCTATAAAATATAAAACATACATATTATTTACTGTTAAATCATATGTTTTAATAGTAAAGAGAGAATATATTTTAAAAATTGCAATAACAATAATATCTTTTATTATAATATTAATGATTAATAATTACTATTAATAATTAATTATTAATAATATTATTTGATAATATTTTTGTAAATAGGTTTAACAAAATTATATTCATTATCAGTATAGTTTATTATCATTAATATTACTGAGAATCCTCTATAGTAGTAGACTTACCCTTTTTGACTGATAAAATGAACAGTTACTATTAGGTTGGCTAAAAATATCATAGGCTTCCTCCCATGAAATCCCTCGGTCAGATACAATCTTGAAAATAAACAAAATCAACCAATCTTGGTAAGATTGTCTACTTTCATTGAACTATCATATTTCTATATCATTCAAAACATTCAACCAAATCTAATCAGTCAGTCAATCAATCAATCATTTCTTTTAATAACACCACCATAATTTCTAATCTTGCATGTTTCGACCAGAATTGCAACCACTTATGCATCATATCAATACAGCATGATAAATACCAATATAGTAATTTTTTCCTCTTGTTGAGAATGTGTAAGAATAGCTAGTTCATTTGAATTATTTCATTTCATTTCATTATTTATTCGACCATACACAATAAAAAGCACAATAACAACAAGAAACAACAAAATGATGGCCAGGGACACCTAAAGCAAATAAATTACAGTAAATCAAAAGATTTAGCTGCCCCTTAAACATGAAGTAACATGAATATTGCACACAATAGAAAATGTATAAAAATCACATGCTATTACTACCTCTATATATTGTATTTTTCCTAGACCAAGTAGATATTCTGGATTTCCTATTTCTAAATGGTTGAATAAGTAAATGAAATGAATATGAAATAGGCCCATACCTTATGTAACTCGACCACAACTGTTCCTGTGGATGATCGGCACTGAAATGATTGTGTATCAATCTTTTTAACTTTTCGGTTTTTGAAGCCAAGATCTGAAAAGTAAATAAATCCCTGTGTGTTGAGTTATATCCATAGATGCTTTCTTTAGAACTAATTCACTTACTGCATACATAACACTTAATATTTTGTGTTTGAACCATCATAGATGTTGTCATCCTTTATAAATATTAATTAACTGAATCATAGCTAATAGATACTGACTTAAGACCTAAAAAAAAAAAAAAAAAAGATTTCAATAATTTAACTGCTTCACACACTATTCACATCTGCTTTAAGCTGAATATTTGTTCTTGATTTTTAATGTCAACAATGTGATTCTAAAATACCTATTTGTTTTGATACAGTATTAAGGTTACTTACCCAGAATTCCCATATCCCATTTGCCATCTCTTTTTACATTGTCAATGATTGCATCCAACGTGTCCATAAAGTGCTGAAATAGTTGGTTTTGCAGCTCAACTTCAAGTCCAAGGATCCGGTTCAAAAATACTGAAACCTCACTACAGCCTACAGGAGAAAGATATTTTGAGATAAATCTATATCTATAGGCTTAAACTGAATTGGACTGAATTTCTTTGGTGTGAAAAAAACCAAGGACAGCACACTGAAGTCCGAAAACATTTTTCCAGTGGCGTCTTTCCTTAATGTTTACATGGGTCATATTGCACACAGGTTTTGAAACTTTTATTTCAACCCAGCAGTTGATACACAAGAGCAACAGACAGAATTGAACCTGGTATCGATATTTTGTAAAGATCTCCATGGTTCAACGCACACACACAATGGCTGCCAACAGTTCAGCCGACTGAGCTAAGCTGCTCTCACAATTTTACAATTAAGCACAGATTAGATTTTCCTTTTAAATATGCATATGATCCCTGTCTGGACGGGCGAGAGTTAGCTGGTAGTGGTTTAAAGGGTAGCTCAGACATGAAGAGACTCTTAGGGGAAAATAAAATTAATGTGTAAGCTAGTCCACACCTCAAGCACTTTGAGACTTCAGTATAAAGTGCTATATAAATCCAACCACATTACTTTATTATTAACATTACATGTGATAAAGATATTAAAAAATACATTTCACCTACCTTTTTCAACTGTATAAGTTGGTCGCCTATAGCTAAAACAATTACATACAATGAACAATAAGAAAATTAATTCATTTTTGGTGTTTATTATGACTTAACACATGTGCATGCGACAAATTTTACTTCTCTTTTAATCATCGTTTTCAGCTTTAACACATTGACTGCCAGACCTTTTTTTACGGTTCATTCCCGTGTGCCAAAACAAGTTTCCCGTGTACAAACATGCTTTTTTGAAATTTTATCTAGTCATATGTCATCAAAATGAAGTGTCTAATAAATTGGCGGGAAAATATTAGGGGGCGAGTATACTCGTCGATGGCACTGTGATAGAACTTTTTACTGACTATGCCAAGTGCGAGTTATCTCGTCCGCTTTTTGCATGGGTTGGTATATATTCAAAGGGCGCCCCCACTTGTACCGCTCGAGCGTACTACCGGCAAAATAACACAACAGACATATATATGTCATTTGTACGTTATCGTATTGGTGTATCTTCCCCGAACTACCAGCCGTGTGGTTCTACAATGTATAATAAAGAAGTTATAAACGCTAGAATGTTTCCCCCAATTTGACGAGTATACTCGTTCCTGGCACCCTCAGCAACACCCTGTGAGCGAGTATACTCGTCGCTGGCAGCCAACGTGTTAAAAGTCAACATAGTGCTTGATTGTTTTATTGAATGATCAATATATATAATAAACAAATACCTATGGAAGTTGTATTGGAGTAAAATCCACGATCTAGGTATTTACGAAGGTAAAAATGTCCGATTAAAAACAAATTTGTGTGGCACCGAGAGTGGGATCAGAATGCTTAGAAACTGCCTACTGTAGGCCTAGGCCCCTTCAGACTTTGCTGCGTACGCCTAGCAGAGGCCTAGTTTATGCCATTGTAAGTAGTACCAGTGCAAATATATAGGAATTTGGGTCAACCCTGATTTTATGAATACCCGCAATTATGAACGGCTCTGTGCCCGTGCCGTACGTAATTGATGGGGGCTATTGTAGTATTATGGATGTATAAGTTAATTGGCAAGAAAACCATTATCTTGTTCTAATTTTCAATTGAAGTTGAATTCAGATGAATTTACAGATTTTTTTTTATAATGAAAATCCTTAAATTACCACTTTAGGAAGAGGATACATATAGTGTATCTGTTTCACTTTTAAACTTCACATATTACTTCCAGTACATTAAATACGTAAAGCAAGCAATTCAATTGAAATGCATTGTTATTTGGCCTAACAGACAGGATATCAACCACTACACAATTGCTGACTCACTTTATTGTTGACATTAAAACTAGTTAAATCCGTGGAATTCGTGGCACGTCTATCACCATGTGTTAATGCACCCTACAATGGTTTTTAGAGAGAAAATAAAAGATATTACTTTCAATATGTAGACATACAGTATATAACGTTGTACTTTCAAAACATTTTCACCACCATTGTTAATACAGTATATTATTATAGGCAAGCTGACAGCTCATTTGGACATACCAAGTTTTCAAGTCTCTTAGCAACAATAGAAGCAAATCTCTTCTCGCCAGCAAATCCAGAAATCAGGAAGACATACTCAGGAGCAGAAACCTGGTTTGACCTATGTGTACGGCCTGCAAATGATAAGAATATAAATGATGTAGTGGTTTACAGACTAACAAACTATATTTTAAATAACAATCAGTTTTTGTTGATGCAGTGAACTTTTCCAGATGACTGAAAAAAATCAGTAGTTATGTTGTTAGACTATTAGTGAGGTACCAGAATGAAGTAGCTAGTGCCATGTTTTCTTTAGCCGAGGAGGAGTAGTTTAGCCTCATTGTTATTATTGTTATTATGATTATTATTTTTATTTTATTGTTATTATTTTATTGTTATTTGCATTTTCTTGGTTAACCTATATTATTTCTGTGTAAAACGCATAGGGGCAATGTGCAATATGCGCAATATAAATATAACATTATTATTATTAACCTACCTTTAAAAAATGGAATCGTCTGTTTTAGGACAGTGTGTATCTGATCAACATGCATTACGTATTAAACCATCCTCATTTTCCAATCAAAAAGCAACATTCATGCCACTAAGAGACCCAGAAATAGCCAGCACTACACTAAAATAAGCACCTTTGGGGTCTCAAAGCAAAATATACTAGGGTCGACTCATCCTTTGATTTCAAGTTTTTTTTGTTAACTTACCAAACTGCTGAATAGCTCTATCTGCACTCCATGGAAGCTCTAGCATCATATGCACTCGCCTCCTCTTGTTTTCCACTCTCTTGTCAGCTTGCAGTGAGATCCCAGAACTTGCTGCCTCAGAAATCACAGCAACATACTAGGTACACAATAGCAAAAAGACAATTATTAACTCTGTGGTTTAGATATCTAATATTTGTATGTAGACATTAAATATGTATCTTATTGTAAGATGTAACACATCGGATCAGTATTTTGAAAATGGTTAAAGTACAAACTGCACATTTCATGAGGGAGTGCAACTGTGTTGTGAACAGAGGTTTGAAATTTAACTAATAAATCTAATATTACTGAAGAATATTGCTGAAGCAGACAGTTAGAAACAAACCTTTTCTCCTTTCATGAAACCTTCTTTCTCTATAATGTTGACTTTATCAATATTTTCACTCCTTGCTTTATAAGTGAAGTTACCATTATCACATACAATCCTATGTTTACGTCCTGTCATCTGAAAAATATAACCATTGTAACATATTTAGTATGTTACCCATACACAGCAGTTTAATATAACCTCATTACATTAAAGACAAAACTGAGTTGAGTCTAGATGTGGTCTTATACTTGTTGACCAAAAAAGTAAGAATGGGAACCTGCAAGCCTAGCCTAGGCCTCGCAGACAGCCTATCCTGGTGCCTTGACCTCACCAAAAGGCATAGGTAGGCCTAGGACAAACAGGGCTAGACATACTTAGCATTTTGATGCTAAATCTGAAAAATGGTTTGTGATGATGCTATCTCTCTGCATGTAACTTACCTCTGCCACATTTTGTGGTCCTCCCAGCTTATCAATCAACGTATCAAGCGTATTGCTAGGAAGATTAATCTCCTCCAACTCATCCAACAGTTCTTGCTTCATCTTCTGAAGGTTCTGCTTTGTACTCGGAGAGGATGACCGATTTATAAAAGCACCTGGAGAAAATAGATAAAAGAACAAATAAATGGCTTTAGTAAGACAACGTAAAAAACAAAGATAATGACAAAGACAACAATAACGATAACAATAAAGGTGGTGACAGCATTAACGTTGATTCCAGTAACAAAACTAAATAAAGGGCTGTAATCCAAAAATATTGCTTACTGTCACTTGTACTGAACAGATTCGGGAATCCATTTGCCTTTGGAAGTTTTGGAGGATAATCATCTTCCGAGTCACTAGATAGAGTTATAACCTCAGGACTATCTGTACTCTTCATGACTTTGCTATCGTTTTCCCTCAAATCATTTATCAACCCCTTCCGTTTCCTAGATCTATCTCCCCCTTCCTCATCCTGGCTGAAGCTGGCTGGGGAAAGATTACTTCCAGGGTCACTGAAGTCTAGGTCGAGTATACCCTTCCTGTCTTGACAAGGGAAGTGCCTCTCTATTAATGTGCGAAGAATTCCTCTGAAAAAAACCGATTGATTATTGTTAAGTAAGAAGGTTAAGAAGTTTTTACTCTATGTAGTCGTTAAAGACCTGTCAAGAAACTGTTGTATGTCCATATAGTCAGGATGTGCCTATATATGGTCATGATATGATGTCATCATGACCATATTTAGGCATATCCTGGTAGTCTGGACAGGACTTAAAGATTTTATAAGGATTTGTACTAAACAAACCATTGAGTAAAAGTTTCACAAACAAATAAGTCATAACCTATATATTTAAGAAGATAAAGTTAAAAGAAAAGTTTTAAAGATACAAAAACACATAAAGTAATGCTCATATCATTATGAATATGAATTGTGATGACAAAGTATTCATAGATACTTACTTTGTTGACGACACAAAGCTTGTTAAATTGTTCCCAGCTGATTTTACAGCATCTATCGTTCTTGCCTCACCAGTTGACTGTAGCCCAATCACAACACACTGTGAACAAACACCCCCGAAATACAGTTAATAATGTTTTTAATTCTATTTATTTGTCTCATGGTAGCTACAAACTAAGCTACAAATTTAGATATTTATAAATACGTAAACATCCCACCTTATTTTCTGCATTTATGGCTTTCATTGTTTGTTCAATCACTGAAACAACTTTTGAAGCTATGCACATACTCTGAAAGAATCGCTGATGGTCAGCCCAGAACTGAGCCCATGGAGGCCGTGACTTCTGACCATTGTCAAACACGCGCATATCCAATGCTTCCTGGAAGTATTTCCTTGCTTTGACCCACTGAAAATGGAAAAAATCCAGGAAAAAAAAGGCTGAAAAAACCTCATCTATAATATATTTATTATTAGCTATACAATATATGAATGACATTTTTAAACATATACAGTTATTATTATATATGGTTATTATTATTTATTAACAATTATTATCAGTAGATATAGGTACTCTGTATCCCTACTTCAGGAGGAAGTATATAAATTTGTATTATTATTATAGTCATTATTATTACTACTATCATTATCATCATTTCTATCATGATCTTTTTTGTTATTGTTTCATTATATTATTTAGAAATAATTTTAAATATAACTTACCCATCGCACTGACTTATTGTAAACTTTAGTAAATTCTTCCGAAAGAGCAACCTCATGAATACTAAAGGAAACGCCTTGAAAACTCAGCTGCCTTGCCATGTACATCCCACGTAGCTTCATCTCCATGGGAACAAGCTCCATACCACGCACACCCCTAAACAAACAAAATAATAATAATTATTATATAATAATAATAATAATAATAATAATAATAACAATAATAATAATAAAATAATAAATAATAATAATAATAATAATAATAATAAAATAATAATAATAATAAAAATAATAATAACAATAACAATAATAACAATAATAATAAAATAATAAATAATAAATAATAATAATAATAATAATAATAATAATAATAATAAAATAATAAATAATAATAATAATAATAATAATAATGATGTTACACTTGTATAACACATAATGCAAAAAAAATCTTCTATGTACTTCACATCATAAAAAAATATATATACTTTGAGGTGGAGCAGCAGCTTGTTTGTTAGGATGGTCCTGTGAAATTTCAGGATTAAACTGTGCTCAAAAATTAAATTATACATCTACAAATATATTGTAATATATTAAATCATTCTTTATTCAGCATAAAAAAAATGTACAAACATTCCTAAAAATATAAATTGTATATATAACCTCAACACTGAAATTGTATATCTCAAATATAAAAAACAAACTCAGGAAGTCTAAAATAAATTTCAACTCAAGTTGATCTAAAAAATTAACTTGTATGTTTCCAAAAATTTTATTGAGCTATCTCAGAGGTGAAAAATCCCTCTACTCAAATAAATGCTATCCATGAAAAAAGACATGCTTATATAGAATGGTTGAATACCATAGACAATGTTAGGTTAGTCAATGATGGCCATATATTCTGGCTAAAGTACAAGTAAAAGTAAGCAAACAATGAATAAGTACACACAATTAGTAGGTACTTTACATACCACTTCTCCACAGTACTAAGGAAATCCTGGAAGTTTGAGAAAGGGGTTGACTTTCCCCAAAGCCCAAGACGAGTCATGTATGCCATGTTTTTCAATTCTGAAGCACCTATGAAGGAAGAAAATAAACTAGTTTAATGATCTACCACCAGAAAGTTCCTTACATGGTCAATTACAAAAAAAAAAAAAATCATGAACATTTTTAATCATTTGTTGCTTTATAATTGTTTATTTAGTAATAAATGTGAACACAGTGCAGTTAATTATTGGATCAATATAGTCTTTGACTACAATGTTATATAAAAACTATCTTTATATGGCTTGGGAAAGAAATGTTTAGTATTTGGAACATTAATGCTCTATTATAAACAATTCTCTTCCCAAAAATATCAAAGCTTATTTTTTATTATGTTCTTTACACACAGAATAATTCATGATGTCGTAATGAACATTATTTTAAAATAAGCTTCAGATATTAAAAAACAGGCATTTAAGTTATTAGATAGAATTAAAAAATCCATTATTTTAAGAAATGAATGGGCATACCATACCTGTTGCACTACAATAAACTATTCTTGCTTTAGGTAGGCGTTTCTGTAGTTCAATGACCTTTGCTGATGTCTTTGTCGACAAGTTCTTAGCTTTATGGCATTCATCAAGAATGATCTAACTTACAAGTCAAGGACATGTTTAGTACAATATGTTCATTGTAAGAAGCAAATATCATTAAATTATGAATACATTTTTTGGACAACCTAAAGAAAAATCTGTATGTTTCTTAACAATGGTCTGTCTAGTGTTCATGAATTTCAAAAGGAAATCAATTAACAGTTTAATATTTAGAGCACAATCAATAATACAGTAGTATATCATCTGATTGACTATGTGGTTGTTGAGTGGTTATCTGAGTCAAGGCTAATATTTAGTGGAAAGATCTGTTATTTTATTTTATTTGAAATTTCTATATTTCAATTGTATTGTTTTGAGCAATTATATGTAGCTTATTATATACATCCTGCATTCTTACTGTTACATATATTATCATTATTTTTAACATTTCAATGATAGTGATTTAAATACTTATTAAAAATATTATATACCATAATTATCAATAAAACCCCCCAGAAAATAAAGTTTAATTAGATTTATTCAGTTCTAGTTTTGATGCTGTACAACTAGTTTTTCTAAGACCCAAAAAGGGGGTTTGACTAAAAAGTGGAATGGTTAATGAGACACACATTTTTAACATTTTAAAAAGTTGGGGGAAAAGTGGAAAAAGGGTGGTTATGGCCCTTTATACCCCCAAAATAAATGGATAAGAATCCCAATACAACAGAACAACCACCAATTATTATTGCTATAGAATAGCCATGCAAACTATTCATAATAAAATCATTTAAATAAATTTAATAAAAAGAGCATACATTAACATATAAATTAACATAAAACAATTGAGTTTAAAGGATACAGGTCCATCATAATCAAGTCCTCCACACCATTGTACAAGTTCGTTTATTCGACTTTCATTATTGCCACGACTTTCCCGAATCAATGAAGAGTAGGTTGAAAACACAACCCCATCCCTAATTCCTAAAGATTTGCTGTTAAGATTCCCATATTTTACCTAAAATATAGTAAACAAATAAACCAATTAATAAGTATATTATTTAATCATTAAATTTTTTTTATTCATCTATTTAACTTAGAATAAAAAAAATCACCAGTGACAGAGTAGGTTGAAAACACAACCCCATTCCTCATTCCCAACGGATTGCTGTTAAGATTCCCATATTTTACTTAATATACTGTAAACAAATCAATCAATTAATATATTACACCATTTAATTGTTTTACTCATCTAACTTAGAACATTTTAAAATCACCAGTGACAGCAATTCTAAGACATGGAAAACACAAAGAAACAGCAAGTGGATATACAGTGAATAAAACTTAATGAAACGTATCATAAGAAAAATCAAATTAACAATGAAAAAAAAACTAATTATACAGGCCTGTGAAACAGGAAACATAATTGTTGGGAAAATCCTATTCTGTTTATAGTTCATAAATTAGACCTATAAAAATTCTGAACTTTCTCAATGTAAAAACATACAGTAGCTATACAAACTAATTCCTCCATGGCTATACAAACATTGTCAATTTAATCATGTCTACAAGGAAAATCAGTATGATTCTCAGAAATTCTCGCTATTAAACTGCAATTGAACATTACTTGAAATCTCGGATGATTCTGTAAAACTATGCTATAGGTAGAGCCAGCTTTTAAGATAGCTTTAGATAATAACTTAGTGTTTCAGGCATACAAAATGAATACAACAACAATTGTGTATAGGTTTTTGTGAGTTCTCTTCCAAGTAATGTTTTGCATATTGATTTTATGAATCTATGATGCTATATGTTTCTGTGATCCATTGTCTATATCACTTTGTGATGGGTGTATGGATAATTTGTATTCATGGTTATATTCATGTCCTTCCTTTATATTTATCAATATATCTATCTATAAATGACCTAAATTTCAAGAGAACCACAAAACCTATCCATAAATAAATTATTAAAAATAAAATTTGATGTTCCTGTGATCCACTGTCTATCTTATTTTGTGACGTGTGTATAGATAATTTGTATTCATGAATATTTTTGTCTTTGCTTTATATTTATCTATATATCTATCTATAAATAAACTAAATTTCAAGTGAACCACAACACATATATCCTTAAAGTATTATTAATAATATAATATACAATAAATATTATATTATTAATAATATAATATACAATAAATATATACATTAGAATTAACTACAAAAACAATTGATTACATAAATTAAAGACATGTAAATTAAATTTTAATTAGAAAAAAATATCTGCTAGACACAATAATCGTATCAACGATAAACATGATCAAGAAAACATCTGTAGCCTTCGCGTCAGTCTGGATTTCCTAGCTGACATTAAACTATACTCATTTGAGGGGATGTGGAGTACATCAAAGCTGGTTATTGTATGTTTAAGAATAAGGAAAACATGTTAAATTAGACATGGGTACTACAGCAGGATACAGGAAGTTGAACAGGTGAAATATATATTAGCTACTCTAGTTTACAGAGCCAGGATACAATATTATAGTCAATTCAAAAACTGTACATGAAATTTGTTTACACTTCCTTAAAAATTACATACAGTTTTATGTACATTTTAATATTAATACTAAAATAGTAATTTTACATTTTATACTAAAGAACTTCATATAGACCTATATGCTTAATCATAAAAAATATAATTACACTGAATATAATCAGAAGTATTTACTGTATACTTATAACAGTACTAAAAATAGCAGCACTTAAAATGATGAATTGTTTATTATATGAATTATGAACAGTAGATTGGAAATTATTAAACTACAGCACTGACTTAGTCACAAAAAAATGTGTATTAGATTTATTCGGTGTAAAAACCAAGGATAGCCCACAAAAGTCTAGAAGAAGACTTATTTTCAGTGGGGTCCTTCTGGTGGTGATTGGGCAGTACACCGCGAGACAATCCCCTACTCTTTTCCGAAGAGTGTACTGCGTTCTTTAACGTGCACATGGGCCATAATGCACACAGGACCAACGGCTTAAATGTCTCATCCCAAAGACGGTGCGCTATTGTAACTTATATTTCAGCCCTCTAACGCACAAACACAGCGGCTACCACCAGATTAGCCGACTGAGCTAAGCTATCTCTCTTAGATAGGCTCCAAACAGTTGTAGCATCAGAAAGGGTAGGATCAGGAGGATCAAGCCCTGGTCCCAATAGGTCAAGTATTCAATGGCCACAAATAATCAAAACAAAACATTTTATTAATTCTTTGAGCATTTATTACCATTTAAAACGTATCAAAGCAGATTTAAACGGCCTAAATTGTCCAATAACCCTTTGCATCTGGGCCATGGCCCCCCGGATGCATATAAGGGCTTAGCCCCTGGGCACTGCTAGAAATTGTCAGAACCTCAGTTGGACAGCTTAGTCCCTCCATGAATGCCAGAGCCACCACTGAATGCAAGGCCAAAGCTTAACAGAGTGTTTTTAGTAACAGAAATGGGCAAAAATTGAACACTTTAATCAGAGACATACTCTATCATATTAGGGTTTATTAAGTAGAAGTTATATATATCAAATTTTCAATTCAATATAAATTTATTGCAAAACAAATATGAGTTTTGAAATGTACAATAAGATAAGAAGATGCAAAAAAAAAAAACGTCAATAATAAAAACAGTAAAATCCTAGAAAAGCAACATTCTCACAAGGGAGAAAAATATAAAATAAATAAATAGTAATAAAATAATAGTTGGAATCATTATTAAAATTACTATTATTATTATTAAACCAATTATTATAATTTATTATTATTATAAATAACATATACAGTATATCAGTTCACTGACCTTACTCAGTAAACATACTGATATATCTGTAGCTCCTATATCTCGCAAATCTCTTTCCGCATCATATTTCAAATCGCTAGATACAGAAAACCTATCAAGAAAAAAATCACTGTTATGATAATACAACTATGAAAATATTGATTTTCAACTAGAGAAATCTGAAATTAATTTTAACTAGATATAATCAGTTCAAATATTGTACACTTTAAAGTGAAAAAATAGATTATAAAAATGCACATCACATTGGTAATTAACAACAAGAATTGACTGAAGTGTTTTAGACCTTTATGTATTTTATGATCGATAAATAGCCGAGTTACATTGTTCTGTTTTGTGGATAACCACAGAAAACACAGAAGTAGCTTGTAAATGACAAAATTACAATATTAGTGGTGAGAATTCCTTATTGTTGTATTTAGTTTACATTAGCGGACCTCATAGGAGATTCACCATGGAAAGGTTAATAGTTTGTCCTCATCTACAACTTGTTTTTACGAATTTGTACTTTATATACTTCCAAGCATTTCCTCGAATGGAAATAAAACACTGGACTTGAAGTACTTTAAACTTAAAGACTAGTTTTATTGACAAAACAATAGCTTTCATGTACACAGTGCATTTTTTCAGGTCAAAATTAAATTTTAGCCTAAAAAGTGTGATCTAATTTAAATTCTTTTTACATATTTGTAAAGTAAATTTTGTAATATTTATAGTATTTTGTTGCATCCAACAGCAAAAAAAAAAAAAAACTATAGGAAGGAAATTAATATGTAGAGCTTTAATGAAAGTCTTATGCTCGAGAGTAGTTTTAGCATAAGAAAACAATCCAAGATTTTTCGGCCAGCCTACATGCTCGGTAAATTAGGTTTTTGCTATGATGTTGTTCTCATTTCCCCTTAGAATTTAAAAATTTATATAGCTAAATACTTCTATTCAAAAGATAAAAATGAAACTTACCAAAGAGCTTTCCTGCGACCTAGTAGAAAGTTTTCATAAATAATTCCAGCTGCACTTCTGCCTTTTCCAACACCTACACCGTCACCTGAAAAAGACAGCAATAGCAGAATAGTATAATTATTATGCAATGTTCAACAGGGGTGTGTATGGAGAAGGCAGGGAAATTACAGCTCATTATTATTTTTATGGCAATTTGTTATTCTCATTTTATGGAACGCATTTTTGCTGTTGCTAAAAGATCATACACATTACTTCTATGATATTTTTCTGATGTAAACACATTTGGGAATAGCTTTGTAGTACCTGCTACTACTTGGGAATCAAATTTAACACTTGTCACAAGTGCAAGCTCGGTGGTCTAGTGGTTACAATACCAGGCTAGTTTCTGGAGGTCATGGGTTCGATTCCCATCTGAATCATTTGGGAATTGTACTGAGTATTCAGTATGATAACACGTCAGGTAGGGAAAAATATCATGTTCATGATATACCATTTTGTCATAAAATAAGGGAACCCTAAAAAATTTAATCAAAATATAGTCATTTAGGGAAAACAAATTTGACTTGTAATTTTGTATATTGTATGGTAACTGTGACAATGCATTCAAGCATAGTACTATATATAGCCTCTGTCGTTTCCTTCCTATTGTGTTTTTGCGTCCCATTTTTTCCCTCTCCATTCATGACCTCAATGCTTAATACAAAACACAAAATGAGAAATACTGTACAAAACATCCATGTTTCAATGTTCAACCAATTACCTCTCTGTAGTGTGTTTAATATTTAACTTAGATTTAAACTGCTTGAGACAATCTACCAATAGTATAAGGTATAATGAAATTACTGTATACTCTCTCACCATAAATTTCATTTTTTCGGTCACCATCCAAATTGAGGGGTCATAATATATTCATTTGTAATACTGACAATGACAACAACACAGCAACATTAATATAATAACTTGTCCTTATAATGCATAATGCTAGAACTTCTATGCACTTCAAAAATAACTAGTAATTAATGATAAAAATAAGAAATATATAGAATTAAAGTATTGATAGATTAACTATAGATTAAGTATTATGTTTTTGGTTACCTGTTTTTATGTATTTATCATATAATGCCTAGGATGAAAATTAGGCAACTGTTACACTCTATAGTCACTATCATGAGCTTTGCGGTTAATTAAGACATTTGAGGGAAGAGTTTTCAATATTACAGTGCTGGATTTGAATCAAAATGAACATAAAAAGAGTCTCCTCTTCCAGAGCCATATTGGAAAGTGATGTGTAGAATTTAAATATAATAAAAGATATAATACCAACTTGCGGAAAAGAACACAGATTGCCTTACATGACTTATTACTTGGACCAAGTATAACCCAGGATTCCCCCAGCAATGTTCATCTGTAATAAAAAGTTATCGGTCAATTGCACCCCTAAATTATTTTGGGAAAATTTCAACTGGCCAAGCATTTTTGTGAGGAATGGAGATTTAGTATCACAACTAGGTATGAATACTATATAGAGGACTAACGACATAACGTGCGAGTCAAGAGTATTATGACCTACTTTTATAATCCACATCCTGTCTGTAATTGACTTAGTTAAACGAACGAGTTGGTAAGAATACATCATACATTGTTAACTAGATGAAACAGAGTTTGTAGAATGTGTATGTGAACCACAGGCGAAATCAAGATAGGGTTTTGCAAAGGAGTACAGTATTACATGGTTGTATCAGAGCAGTCAAAGAATTACTGTAGTGTGTACCTAGTTTTATAGCAATGCATTTAGTATTTTGCTTTCATTACTACCAAAAAGCACTGAACATGGACTTTGCATTTGAATGTTATCAATATTGCGCAATGGAACAACCACACTGCAAACAATGGTTAATGATTCAGGTTCATGAATGGATTAAATCCATCACACTCATACTGTATCGATTTGTAATTATAATAAAACTCAACATTTTGGATACAGTAGTTTTGTTTGGGACACCTTACAATACATTAACCTAATTTAAAAGTAAATAACAAGTCTGTGAAGCAATTTTAAAATTAAAAACCAGACAAATGTAGTGTAGTGAACAACTCTCATTTATCAAATGGGATTAAACTCACTGGATTATTACACATTCTTGGACACTTGTTGATTTTTGTAGCGTTCTCGTACTTACATTAGTTGGAGTGTTGAAAATGACTTGCTGTATTATTCGAATATAATTCCCCACTTTGAATAACCCCCCCCCCCTTTCCACCCTCCAGAGCCTAATTTGGAATAAATTTTTTCCTCGAATAAACACCTCCTTAAAAGGACTGTAAACAAAACTAATTGGAAGCAATATTATTCTCACACATTCAATTAATATTCTACCTCACAGTAGAAGTACATTTTTTCTAACCTGGTTGGGATCAATAAGTCTTTTTGATCTAGCATTTTGACGGTAATTATGTGTTATTCTATTTATTAACAGTGAAATGAAGAAGCGTTTATTTGAGCATATATTTCAATTTTACACCAACAAAAATGAACGCTTCAATCGAAGGAACTACCCCTCCAAAACCCTTCTCAACAATAAATGCCCCGGGGTATTTATGCAAATAAATACGGTAATAATTTTAAATGCAACTACTAGTATCACTGTTAAAACTTATTACGCACATTATTATTATAATACAGTTCCACTATATTATACAGTAGTCCTATTTACAATATTCTATATTTGTTATTAAAATTATAACCATCATTATCTATAAATGATGAAAAAAAAAAAATAGCTTTCCAACAATTCTGTATCATCTAATCTTTTTATCTAGAATTCGCAGAATTTGCCAATTATCTTGCATTTATTCAATATAATTATAAAATCATTATGGTACAATTAATCGCACATAAAAAAACCTTAAAAAACATGTATAGAATCAAATTGCTTTCAATTTTAAATGCAACATGTTTAATAGGTACCACGGAGGGAAATCCCCTCTTAAAAACTACTACTGTGCGTTCAGATTAATTATCAAAGGTTAAAGTTCACCCAAGTTTGTGCATGTGTTCATTTTTAAATTTAGCTATGTATTCAGAAATTAAAATCACTGAAAATAAATAAAAAAGTATACAAAGGGCAAAATATAGTTAATCCCGCTATGTTCGCTTTTGCCCGTATCAAGGGGAAAAACTAGAAGTCTTGACATGGGGGAGGGGAGCTAATTGGGGAAAGAAGGGTAAGTGGGAGTGCTTGATGATAAAGTGAGGGGACGCTAGCAAAATAAGATAATATGAGGTGATTTTGTTGCTTCAACAATTTCCAGGGTACAACTGAAGCAGGGAGAGGGGGGATGGGTGTCTGGGGAGTGTTCCTGTAGATATGCCATTGCCCATATCTTAAAATTTAGTTTTGGTTTCAACTATGCATAGAAACTATGTCAACAAATTCGAACTAGAAGTTGAACTATTTCATACGTATTTAACATTTATATTTTTACATCAACATTTTTTATTTACTGTTGCCAACTTTTCTAGTTGTGAATGATCAAAATTTCAGCTTCTAAATTTAATTGTATTTTACAGACTTTTTTTTTCATCAAACTCCTTAAATTAAATTACCAGTACAAGCGAATTTAAGGGCACTATTGGAAAGAATAGAAATGGTATAATTTGTCTCTGATTCATATAACAACTACTTAAAATAAGTTAGCAATTGAAATATTGGATTATATTTTTTATGTCTATTAGTTAATACTCAGGTTATTTATATATTCTAGAGTGAATAGTTTTACATAATATTTAAAATACTTTGACATTTATTTAGAATAATTTACAAAAAAGTTTAATTTTCTTCCTACATTACAAACAAGCAGGGATGAAATCCTCGTTTAGATATTATGAACAATTATTTTAAAAAGTGAAAGTCACTCTCCATTGCATTCTGGGAAAATAAATATGCAATTTATTTGGTTACAATCAACCTTGCACTTTTCTGAGTGATTTGGTTCAGAAAAACCTAAGCCAGATTACAGTACATGTAACATGCACAAGGTTTCTTCCGGTTCTTTACATACGTTGATTGAAATTTGATTAATTTAATCAAAGCAATGTGATCTAATTAATCTGTGCATTACTCTGCTGACAACAAAGAAATGATATGTCCATAAAAGAGACTATTTATTTCTCCAACTTCCTGCTCTGTTAGAAGAGCGCAACGGATGGAACAGGAAACTTAGTATCAAATCCTGGTGATGTCAACTACATTACATAATTTTTTTTGTTCAATTACAAAAAAATATTTTAAAATGATAAATACTTGTATGAGAAAAACATACTTAAATTTTGATTGATAAACAAAATAAATGAAACCATATGATTGAATAATTACAGTATATACAATGACAATTTTAGCTAATTAGAAATTCCGACAAGAAAAGTGTACAGTACAGTAACTGCTTGAATATACAATGTATTACACTTATCGGTTATCATCACATAATTGTACAGTTCAGAATGATTACATTTTAAACAAGTAATGAGAATTTAAGAGAAAAATGCAGGCTTGAATAAATTATAGAAAGTAAATGTGTTAATTGTTAATTTAAGAAACCTACCAATAAGGAAGCCTGCCCTCTCGTCAGTTGCTAAGAACCTTTCATGCTGTTGACAAGCATATATGACTACCTCCAACTGCAAAGCCGACAGTTTACCCTCCGATATGACTTCCTCGGGCAAGGCGAGTTCATAGGTCACATCTGGAGGTTGTACACTCGCTAGCGAACTGGTTTCAACGACGAGATCCGGGTGCTTTAGGCCAACTTCAGCTGATGTTACAAAGCCAAAAAACTTCATGTTAAAAACATTTATCATTTTATTGCATCTAATTAACTAAAAAATTGCTAAAATATATAAAAAATAATAGGATTCTATGGCTGAGGTTTAACAATTAGTGTCCAAGTATGCTATTAACCAGCAAACCTGCAGACTTTATTAATCTACAGTAGGCTATTATTTTTGTGCCAAATTCAGCAAAATACCCCCTATAAAAATAGTTCAACATTTATATGATTATACAATACACACTAAGTATATTAAAATAATATTTCAAAACCTTAAAAATAATATTTTAAAGCTTTTATGAAATGCGTTATGCATTTTAAACTACCTATCATCAGGAGCACAAATAAAAAAGCGTGTGCCCTCTATAATTGTTCACTACGGGCAACGAGTTAGATGTGAAATATGAAACATTTTGAACTGAGCAAATTAAATTAATTGCTTTAAAAATGTCAGAATTTCTAATATTTCAATGCAGAAGCCAGAAAAAATGAAATAGGCCGTCCAAAATGGAAGCCAGTAGGCGTGGCCCTGAGTTGATGGGTGCCCCTCCCAAACACAAGGAAAAATGTTGGAATTTTGTCTTCAAAGGAATAGTGTAGAATTAGCTATCACAAAGATTTAAATTATAGACATAGATTGCACACGACTAAGGTTACTCACATAATGTTTCTTCGATTGAGAGATAGGCCTACTGTAGACCTACTGCATTTTGTTGACTAATAAAATTTAACTTGAATAAAATTTAACTTGTGACGTTAACAACAAATCTTCTTTACAGTATTTCATGAATTAATTATAACCAGAGAGTATGGACACCAACAATATTATGTCTAGAAACCGAATCTTAAGTATTGGTATGAAAACAACGTACATTAAAAAAATAAAGGTTGTTTTTATCAAAGGTAAATATGATTTAAGCTTTTAGTTTAATGTTACATTCGGTAGATTGGAAGAATATAAAGAATTTGCTAAAGGTAGACCAGGCCCAATAGGCTAGGCCAAGCTGATTAGGTCAAGCCGTCGCGGTAAAAGAGGCCATCATAAACAATTATTGTCCGTCCAAAGACGGCCGGACAGCTCGCTGATAATAAATCACCTGATAGGATAGTGATTACCTGTATTACTCATGATCTAATTAAAATCAGCAAGATCATAGGCTTAACCAGCAGGCCGTTCAGTCGTCTTTTGGACGGCCTACAATTGTTTAGGACGGCCACTTTTACCGTGACGGCTTGGAAGGCTTGGCCTAATCAGCTCAGCCTAGCCTAAATGGGCCTGATCTACCTTTAGAAAATTCTTTATATTCTTCAAATCTATCAAATGTTACATTAAACTAAAGCTAAATCATATTTACATTTGATTATTATTGCTTGAAGGTATGTTGTTTTTGTACCAATATTCGGTGGGGATTCCCAAAATGGCTTCCATTTTGGACGGCCTATTTAGTTTTTCTGGCTAAACCCCTGAGCAAGATTCATATTTTTGAACATAGTCATTATAATTAATAATACAATTATAGAATAATATACTATAATCACCATATAAAAATAAAATATATGATTTTAATTGATGTTTTTGTTTCGTATACACACAGAGTTGTAAAAATTTTTATTATTATTCTTTAAATTAAATAATAGCATTAAACAACAAACTAAAAAAAAATACATTTGATACTTGATTCAATTAAATTTTGCATTCAACAGGGGTAATAATTAAGAAATTATTCTGTCAAAATTTAATCTTATACGAATACAAGCATTCATAAATTCATAGCCAGTATTCAGGTGCTGGGTTCTAATTTCATTACAAGTGTATTCTGGTAATTATTGTCAGTAAAATGGGGCTAATTTGACCCATGGGATAGGAAGGGTTTAATCTGCTGGAATCAACCAAGACTGTGGTTGAGGTAATGTGGCTTGCAGTGTACCATATGAATGCATGCATGCAATTTACAGTACATCAAATTATTAATAGACTGTCATGTTTTCTTGTACATGTTACAGTGGGTGTAGATGTCTTGCACCTGTACCAACCTCCTTGATAGCTTGATTTTGTGTTCCTTTTTGTTTGTATATAGTACTATATAATATTTTAAGTTTTCTAAGGAATTATACAATAATACAGCTAATAAGATTACATTAATATAATGTAGATAAAAAGTTAAATTAATATCATTATCAGTCAACAAAATAGAGAACAAATTTGCCCTTAACTTGTCAACAGCAATAAATCTCACTAAAATAATGTATCCTCTAATACCAGCGTAACAAGATATATTGAATATTTATTTGCTTTAATCACTGAGTAAACTGGTGGCAGAATATTTCAGTATTCAAAGATTTTATTATACCCTTTTAAATGTAATAAGTTTAAATTTTTTTTCCAAGTTGGATAGCATTATATTTCTCACAAACGCGAGGCTTAAAATAGCCATTTATAATTTTAAAAAACAGGGTTGTCTTATACGCACAACACATAAATTTTTTATTTTTAAAATTATGTTCTACTTTCATGTGCAGATCATCTGTAATACATGAATTGAAAGCTAACTGTTAGTGTGAATAAATGCAATTTTAAATGCAGGGAAATAAGATTTCGATGAACATTTAAAGGCCCACAAAATGGTATTATTTGAAAGATTGGACCTACATCTGACATCATTTTTAGCCAGCTGCAGTAGATGCAGTATCCTGACCATAAAAAGCAGAAATAAGTAGGAATACCGACGATGAAACAAGAAGTGGTCTTATTTGCCCGACACACAAAAATCATCCAAAAATCTTCTCAAACTCAAGGGTTGTCTTATACGCAAGTAATACGGTACATAAACCTTAGTAAACAGAAAACAATTTCCCCCTTTTTTAACTTCAATATTTTGAAATATACTTTAAAAAACAGATTTGCCTGAAGTTACTGGTAAATAACCAATTTTCCCTGAGAAGACGAAAATAGATGAGAGGCCTAGAGAAATGTTAACAGCTTACGTAGAAGAATAGACCTGGCCTATAGGTTTCACTATAGTTTGTTTAATGGGAATTGTCCAATGTAAAGGCAGATGCAACTATGACATATTTATATTGCATTTGAAGCTCACAATGTCATGTAAGGATGAAGGTTGAAGTTCCACCAAATGGCTACAGTATATAGTGATTATCATTGATGTGTTTGATATAATCAAGCTAAACTATATTGTTATACTAGTAATGATGGATCACAACAATTAATGAGGATTTGATATGAAGATTGTCAAACTGTCAATTATTTGTATTAAATTATTTTTCGACTAAGGTTATGAAAAAGTAGGATTTATAAAATAATTAAAAAACACAATTATAAAAATTAGTTTTAGAAAAAAAATCTCCAGAAATTAAAGCAAACAGCAAAAATTAGAGAAATAATACAATATGTATGGAATTTCCCAAAAAACTATACATTTACATTGGGTGTATGGCTGTCTGAATTAGGGTAAAGCAGTTCTCATGTCAATTTTTAAATGACGGGTATTTTTTGTACTTAGAGATTAAAAATCAAAAGTAAATTGATAAAATGTAATGGAATTTAAATACTCACATTTGCTGGGTTTGTAGTTTGAAAATGTGTCTGCTTGGCTCATTTCGGCCTCCTCTTCATCTTCTTGATCAACGACCCCATCCTCTTGGTCAACAGTTTCCGAGTCCTCTTGACTTGCCATTTTAACTTTTTCTTCAATGGTATTAAAATGTTCGATTTCCTATTTAATAAAAAGTTGTTTAAATTGATACAAAATGTTTTTCACTAATCATAGTGTATTAAAATAAAAAAATAAAAAAACAATAATATGAACTTTAATCATCAGTAGTGGTCTGTAGAGCAAAAACATTTTTTTTTTTTTTTAAATGCATCCAAGGAAATGTGTGATACCTCCAATTACCCACATTTTCCAGCTCTGATTATATTTTTTTAAACCATATTTATATTTATAGAGGGTTACACTTCCAGTGTATCCTAGGTCGGCTGATATTCAGGGGCCATGAAATAACATGATGATTTATCAGGGAAGTCTCATTACAAGGCTTAGGGTGTGGAATTCCTCTGCTGTCTCTGGATTTGAACACTGAACCATAAAATCACTAGGATATCTCCACTCTAAGGACATAAGGCCAACAAATGAGCGGATCCCTGAAAAGTATTAAGTATTTAGTATTTAATCGGCAGTGGCGTATCTGGAGGAGGAAGGGGATGCATATGTCCCTCCAAAAATTACCCGTGCCCCCAGTCTTGCCACCCCCCAAAAAAAATCACGGTCAAGTAGTTAAAAATCACCTAAAATCACCATATTTTGCGAATTAGTGCCCCTCAACTTAACATCAAACCCCCCTCCCCCCACCTCACCTTCGCGCCCCAATCAGCACCCCCATTTCAAGACTTCTAGATACGCCACTGGTAATCAGCACAATGTTGGTATTCAAACCTGCAAGGTAAATGGGTGGATAGAAACAATATGGATATGGCTTTGCCAAAAACACACTAAGCAGCTGGTTCAACCTTTGGAAGCTGCCTTTAAGTAATACTGCTGTACCATAATTATTTAACTCAGTCATTTTAGCAATTAAAATAGAGTTTAGTTTAAAATCAATGCCTTGTACTTTTCAGCCAATAAGGAAGAAGAAAAAATGTGGATAAGAATGGAAAATTGGTATTTTTTGGTTGTCAGAAATAGCAAGGACATGGACTTGATAATATACACAAACAAGGATGTAAACTAATAGAATTGTAATATTGCTAAAAATATACAGTAAAATGACAATACAGTAAGCGTAAACTAATAATTAGGAAGAGCTTGTCATGGAGAGCTGAGCGTATTTAATTAAGGAAGATTGTGGGGAATCCCCTCCCCTCTCTATTTGCTTTCTGAACAGAAAATAACTGACAAACTTTGTATCCCAGCATTATTTTGATGTTAAAATCAATGAACCATATTCCCATTGCGACTATCTATTGAGCCTTGTCTATTGTTATTCATTACTTCATATCCTGTATGTAAAGTAGGCCCTATGTCATGACGAGCTCATTCAAGTTGGTCCACTATTGTTGTACAGTACTATACAGTATTTTCTATGCATGAGAACAACTTACATCATGAACAGTGAAATGGAATACAGTGTCAAAATTAATAGATCATGTTTACAAATTCATTTAGAATTTACTACTGTACGTCTGCTTATAAAACAAAATATATAGCAGGCATGAGGGAATTTCATATTTTTTCACTTGTCCCCGAACAAAATGCACTTGCCCTGAAGACAATTTTACTTGTGCCAATATTATTGCGCAATAATCATAAAAAAATAACACAAAAGTAAAGTATTTTTGCTATGGCCTTTAGATACTGCATTGATCACGCAACAATGTTTTTCTTTCTATTTTAATTTGCAAGAATTTAAAACGACAACTTTAAGTAAAAATTTCTCAGGCATTGTTGATTCCCACGATACAAGAGTTCTCAGCCACACGCTAGGACTGTGTTTTATGACGTTATTTTTTTTTGGGGGGGGGGGGCGAGGGTGGTGGCCATACCGTATGTTTGTACCCGTTTACAGATCTTAATCAATTCTAATACTAACTTCAAATGTATTTTATTTATTTTTTTTTTGCGGAGGATTAAAAAAAAACTAATTCAAATTGCACGGGAAAACCTCTAGAAAGAGATGCACAGAATCGTAAATACTTGTGTTCCTACTATCAAGCACTCAGTTTTCTGCAAAATATCTGTGGAAATCGGCACATATTTTCAAAATGCTGCGACGGATTTCTGGGCCTAATATTTTTTGCAGGGAATATTTTACAGCCTGACACATCCTCATTTCATTTATTGCAAAATAAATAAAATTGCTTACCTCTCAACGAAAGACAAGCACTGTAGGCCTATATAGGGCCCAACTCTGAGCATGGGCCGAGGACGAATCCCTTCTAGAGAATCTCCTCAAAAGTAATTACTAGTCATGAAGTCCAGACATTTCATGTTGTCCAACTCAACTTATCAACTAATGGCTGTGCGGCCAAAATCCTGGTATATGTCTGGTATTTATAGACTACACCAGTGTGAATTTATATTGTAAACAGACTACGTGCAGCAGGCCCAGGCGGCTGATGGATTACAGGTACGATATCGTGGGAAAATATGTAGGTCTGCTGTAGGTCTAATGTGTAAACAGATCTGGCTAAAATTAACGATTTAAGAATTAATTTTCAATCTTTACTGCAGAAAATAACAAATTTTATATTGAGTAGGCCTATATTTTTTCTTTTAAGCCAACAATAAATCGCAGGATTGTTGGTGACTCTAACTTGATGAACACTGTGCTGTGTGTAACCATGGCATAGTCGGTTTTCTGTTTGATTTCTCTTTGTGCGCCGACAATTTGTTACTAAAATATGCTGCGCATTGTCAAGAGTCAGACTTTTTATAAATACTGTGAAAGCATTACGCATTACATGGTGAAGTAGCCTATAGATTTTAAAAGTGCTTGTCCACGAACAAGTGGTCCCTAAAATTCTTGTTGTCCGACCATAAAAAGCACTTGGGCAAGTGGGTTCGCTCATGCCTGTATAGGACTCTTTCTCATTAAAAAAAATAATGAGAACTGATGTTTATTTGAGATTTTAAAAAAAAATTACATAAAAAAATGATAAATGCTACAAGAAATCAACCAAAACCTGGGCCACAAGGATACATGCCAAGATCCCTTTTCCACCACATATCGCTGGACCAAAAAAGGAGAATAGAAAAACTCTTCTTATGTTAATACTTCTGGAGAATATTTTTAAAACATCTCAGAATAGCTGAGCTTACACTGTACAGAAAATGGCTCAACATCGTCCAGTTTTACTACCAGTAGATGCCAATGGGTTGGCATCTGACCCCTTGTTAGAGAACTTAGCCTCCCTAAATGTACAGTATACTGTATCCATCTGATACCTTATAAATGTTAATAGGAAAATTAAAAGATATTAAAACAGGATTTTTACATTGCTTCTGTAGTCTGTATTTTTGTCGTTTTCTGTTTTCCCACTATTTTATTGGGTTTTTTTTTAACTGAATTAAAAAAAATAATTAAATGTCTTGCAATGGAATATGATAAATTAAGTAAAAATATATTATTACTGTAATAATTTTGTATAAACTGTTTTCTTGTGTATTTTTTATATATTTTTGATTATCAGTATGTATTTAGTCCTGTTTTTTTTTTATATATTAATTGTCCCATGTGGGATGAAGAAAGATTATTGATTCAATTATTGATTTTTTCCCTTAGATTATATTTTTTATATTTGCATTGTTGATAGTCATTGCTATATTATATTGTTAGGAGGACCTCAATAAGTAGCACTGCTGGAAGAGTCACCTTCAAGAAATAAAGTTCATTTCACGCTGGAAGAGTCACCTTCAAGAAATAAAGTTCATTTCACCTAAGACCAAGAATCTTGCATACTGTACTGTTACCTATTGACATTGAATAAAGACATTTTGAATTGTTTGCACTATGGGGCCATTCCATGCCAAATCCCCTAATTTTCTGAAAAGTTCCCATCCGACCCTCCGTCGATTTTGCTGGAAATCCACCAAAATGTTCCATTTTAAAAATAACACGAACAATTTTAGACCAGAAGTCCAAGTCGATTTGAAATTACGGCCCTCCAACAAATGCCACCCCGCTATAGTATAAAGCAATGTATTTATTTACAGTCATAGCCTAAAGTAAATATATTCAGAAGTCAGAAACTATGAGATATAAACCATTTTTAGTTGAATATTTTAAATTTTGTAAAGCGCACTGATATGTTTACGCTATACAAGATATGTATCAATATTATTATTATTAACAATAAAATTAAATACCACCAAGTTTAATTTGCTTATAATTTGTATACTTTTTATTGTTTGATCACATAATTTGGTACGTTCTTGAGACTTGATTGATTGATTTTATTCGGCTTTATACAACTACACACAAAATTTAAAAACATAAATATCAAATTACAATAAAATCCAGTCATAAAATATCAAAACAATAAAATCCAACGAAGGTACATAAAAACAACAAAAATCAAGCATTATCCAAAAATAACATCATTACAATAAAATTTAAACCAAAAACAAAAAAACAAAGTCAGGGATGACAGTCAAGGAATGACTTATTTCCAATGGGGTCCTTCTAACACTAATGGATTACAGGAACAAAATGGATCTTCACTGTGGAGACCCAATCAGTTAGAGATATCACCATCCACCTTCCCTCCCATCCAACAGGCCTGCAACCAGCCTACCGTAAAACCTCGAATTGAAGCCCAATTGGCCTTTTTTTGAGATGAAGCCCATCTCGATTTGAAGCCCCCTCTTTAGTTTGCAAATAAGTCTAAAAAAAAGCCCATCTCAAGATAGAACTGACTACTTTTTAAAAGAGTACAGTACGTACATGAATTTCAAAAAACAAAATAAATTAAAAACAAGCTTGGTTTATACAGTATTTTAGGTGATTTTTGAAAAAAAATTTGAAAAAAAGTCCGCTCTTTAGTTTGCAAAAGTAGCCTCGAAAAGAAGCCCATCCATAGTTCGCAAATAAAATGGTGAAGCCTAGGGCTTCATTTTGAGGTTTTACGGTATGCCCCTGATGTCTAATAATAACAACATTATGTTCTCTACCTGATCTAATGTACTGTTCATGAACATGTCATTGCTTAGTGTGGGCAGCAGTGCACTTCCCATGTCCATCAGCTCGCTATACTCTGGTTGATCGGCAAGAAAGGCTGTAAGCTCGTCCCATAATTCCACATCTTGTGCACCACCTCCTACTCCCCCAGTCATTGTGTAATCAAATTTATCCGGATTCATAGCTAATAGGAGGTTGCTGCCATTATTATGCATCTGAAAAAAAAAGGTTTAAAATTTACTGAGTGTTATAAAATTGCCTCAAAACAATTTAGAGGTTGTCTGAAAAGTGATTTAAATTTTTTTTTTTTTATACAGTATTATAAAGCACATCCTACACTGTACAAGATACTAATCCTTCTGAACACAGTTAACATATTTATTTGAATAAACGTCCTGCTTTGAATAAACACTTGCTTGAATAAATGCAACCTCAAAAAAACTCCACCTCTAGAGCCTCATTTGGAATAACGCTTCCCTCGAACAAACACCCTGATCATGCACACATTTTTATGGTAGTCATGTGGTGTAGTTCCACATTTACTTTTCAAATTAAGGGGCGTTTGTTTGAGTATTGGCCTACGTACCCATTTCAAAAACCAAAAGATATAAACGTCTCCCTTGAATAAATGCCCACTTAAAATCCCTTCTCAACAACATATGCCCAGGGCCATTTATTTGAATAAATACGGTATTAAATCTCAAAAGTACAGATAAATAATAGGTCTACGGCTTTGAATATTAAGGAGGAATGTCTGGACAGAATACACACCTACAGTATAGTTATGTTCTTTTTCAATAATCAATATACAGTAACAACTAAGACCTGGCATAACCGTATGTGTAAGCTACATTCTTTTAGAGCCGAATCACAATTATATATCAGCCATGGGTTGGGTTCCATTCATGGTTAATATTTTATGTCGTAAGAGAGTCGACCTGGGAATGTTCACACTTCCTCCTTTGCGTCTCGTTTTTGCATGAAATAATGTTATGGTACAATGTGTCAAAATTGGCCGCTACCGTAACGACCTTGGCGACCCAAGTTCTGTTTATTTACATTCAGATATGCAGATGAGTCGGCCCAGGTCTCGCATTGCGAGGCCTTAGTCGACTTTAAACAGACTTAAAATTTATTTATTGTGTACACTTGAAAAAAGGTGGCCCTGAGGAAGCCCTAACCCGACGTAGAGTAACTATTAAGTGCGATTGGGCTCTTACACTACATGCACTTTGTGCTGGTTTGCAATTGTATGTTATCCAGTGACCAGGGGTAATAATGCGCAGCACCTTTGATCATATAATTTGGAATTGGCGCTATGTAAATATTTAAGCATTACTATTATTAAGCATTAGGAGCCATATTTCAAAGGACCAATGGCTCAATATCATCTGAAAGAAGGTATGCTATTGTAACTTGCATTTTAACCCTCCAGTTAAAACACAAAGAGAGCAGCGGATGGATTTGAACAATGGACCACGGGTCGGAAAAGGCTGCCAAGGACAGTTTAACAGACAAACACTCTCCAGTTTAGCTGAAAGGGCTATTCTGCTTCATATTCGCAAAACAACAAATCCTTAATTTCATGACATAAAGTGGTAAAATATAAATCTATACCGATGTAGCTAGCTAAAGGCATTTTCAACACAGAGGTAAAACGGACTTAAGTTTTAGTTTTAAACACTGATTGACGTTTATTGCCGTTGATTTTAAGTAAATAGGGCTGTCTAAATGAGTCACATTAACACGGTTGGTGGTGAACCCTGTAGACACTCCAATAAAGTGTACATATTAAGTTCATTGACCTGCACAATTAAAGGATTTTTGCACAAAGGATAATTGTTAATTCTTCTCTTCTGAAAGACTAACAAGACTTTACTTCAACCCTCTAGTGGCAACGAACAAGATATATTGCTCATTCTGGGCTAGAAAAAAAAATAAAATGAAAAATTAAAATGCTAAATTTGCTTAATACTGTATATTTAAAAATTTTGTTAGCTTTGAAAATAATGTTTTGCTTGATTGATGCATATTAAAATTATACTATTCCAATTCCTTTGGGATGCCTGTACTTTATTGGTAATCAAACATGTTCGTAGTAAATTCTTGGCATCTTTTTTTTAATTAAAAAATACACTAATTTTCCCAGCTAGGATTAGAACTCTGGACCTTCCGCTCGCTATCAGTCTGGGGCTTTGTTAAAAATTCAAATCTGAACAAATGTAACTATCTGTCCACTCTTTTGCATAAGTATTATGGAACAGCACTAGTTCTCTCTTTTCCACTCTTAAATGTGGTTAAAAACAAGCCAAACAAGTCACTGGTTGCAAAAATCAATTTTTAGTTATTAATATAGTGTTAAACAGTAAAATGAGAGCTATAAAATGGTAAAAGAATCCTTTAAATCCAACATTTCATTATGAAGTTATTGGAGTTTAAACATACAGCTGTTTAAAGAACAGTATTTGAGAAATCAGCCTTTAAAGTTTACGGTTTCAGGCATTTCTTAGGCAGAAACCATCACCAATTCGTTAAAATTTATTGTGTTAACATTGAAAATGGGGAAAATAACAGCAAAGCATGATGTATTGATATATATCAAGTTTAGTTTAGTGCAATAAAATGGATTTCCTCTTTTAGATTTTATGTTCTAATTGTTAATTTTGGCAGTGGTATTTCTTGAACTTGTACTTGAACAAAATAAAAAAAAAAAAATCCCGAACCAATTTTTTTGGAACATTTTGGTTGCATAGGGAAAAACAACATACTTTTTTGCCCTTACAATGTTATAGCATATTAACATTTAAACTGACAGGATAGACTACCGATTAGCTAGCCATAGCTAGGCTAATGACGACTATCCATTGGGCTATATCTAAAAAATACTCAGCGTTTATTAGTGTTTTAGGACTTGCCTTTCAAAAACCTAAAGTCTGGTAGTAGTATTAGTAGTAGGGCCTAGCCTCCTTTCCTTCTTAGGGCTGACCGAGCCTGAGGCCTAGGCCTACCTGGAGGTACTGTAACCACCACAGGCTAAGTAAGACTCTAAGTCAGTACATCAACATTCCTGATGATGCTTAAATAAAAGCGAAACGTTGAACAAATGGCCTTGTCAATTTTTTGGAGTGACATTCATACTACCTAGGCCCTTGTACTTAAACTCAGTGATCAGTGCACATCCAAATCAAATGTTTTCTGGCTAGGCCTAGCTAAGGCTTTATAGGCCTAGGAGGGCCTAGGCTAGGCCTACTGAGATCGAGTCAGTACAGAAGTATGTAAGGACGCAGTGTTAAACTTCTACAGTTCAAGCTACACTTTAATTTACAAAATATTCAGAAATAATAATCCACTTCACTAATGATGATCTGAACCATTAGTATAGGCGGTTTGATGCTCAATGTTATAATTCTAGGCCGCACATAATGGACCGGAAGTTGCCTTACTGACGCAACCACACTACTGTAATACATGTCTAATCGCACTCACACACACTGCGATGTGAACTAAAGTTAAGAACGTCCTTGCTGGGCCTAGCCTAGCAATTAGAACTGAAGACGCCTTCAAAACTCACCTTTTTTCTCTTCTTTGAAAAACGCTATTGTCGACGAAATCGAACTTATATTAACCAACAATCATTATTTATTATTTTGGCGTGTTTTTTAACATAAAATTCAGTTGTAGGTTCGTGAATTTTGGTTCGTCATAAAAAGGGAATACAAACGGGACATCCCCCATCAATCGATAGACTTCGCCGCGTGTCGCGTACAAATACATTCACACACAACGATCATAGGAGTGCGCGAAGCTACTAGAGACATTCATGTCATCACTGGGTTTGCGAGTCTTTCCTGGAATTCCCCTATATGTGCGTCACTGTCGCGTGGGTATGAATGTTCAGAATGTGTGAGGGTACTGTGCTCACAAGGATATACAGGTATATGTAGACACACCATGATTTATTCCAAGCAGGGAGCTCCCTATCCTGGCAGAAACAGCTTTAGAGAAATTATAAAGTACGGTAAACGCATAAGACCTACATTAAATAGGATAATTTCTCTTCAAATCTAAGTTATGCTGCCAATTAACCATGAGCACAGGGACGGATTCAAGGGGTGGAGGGTTTTCAAAAAGTATTTTTTTAAATGGAGAAAAAGACAATTATTCTGTTGAATCCCGGGCCCCCTCCTAGAAGGTACTAAGACTGTCTCTTATACACATCTAGATGTGTATAAGAGACAGCTTCACTTTCGCTCCCCCATCAGCACCCCTATTTAAAGACTTTAGATAGGCCACTATCCTGGATCCGCCGCAGTGTATAGGCCTATGTTTATTTTTAATCTGTATAGTTTCTTTTTTGTCGTCGTAGAGTCCAGTAAAGTGAAAACCATCAGTTGCTGCTTAAAATTTGTTGGAGGTGTTCGACTCCAATAGATAATATCGATAATGAAACTGGTATTCTGCACCACTAAAGAACATAATGTGCCTGAATAGGGCGATTCCATTGAGAGTATGCTTCAGTTTCGCCCATAAACACGGCCTGCGTATTCTTGGTACTGATTCCGGTACAGGGCGGAGGTGCTTCTTATGTTTCTCACTGTTTTGGTTGGAGTAGGCCTTGAGATGATAGGATTTTTTTTCGACCAAAGTGGATTTAATACTTAATATGTTGTAAGGCGATATTCCCGTCAACAACACATTAAACCCATCATTTATTTACATTGGATTCCTGTTTAAAAATTTACATTTAAACTATTTTACTTGTATTTGAGGCACTTTTTTTAAACACCATTGTTTTTTTTTTTGTTTTTTTTTTGTTTTGTTTGTTTTTTAGAGTTTCTTACGACCTATATTCCTCCGTTCACTGATAAACACTATCTGCAAGTCTCTTCACTTAAAAGTAAACGTAAAAAATATAGTCAACTTTCATTTTCTGTTTAGGTCCACCTTCAGAAAATTTAGTTCTATTCAAGAAGAATCGCAAAACTTACTTATCTCCTAAAGTGTTCTAGTCTGGTTTATTTCTGACTTGGCGTCTTGTATTTTTGAATTGATATATTATTGTATTTAGGTATACTCAATCACTAGCGCTGATAGGGGAGGGGTCAGTGTCCTGTAGCCCGGACCTCGAAGACAAAAAAAAACCAAAAAAAAACAAAAAAATTAAAACTTATGGAGTTTTGATCTACCGTCATTAGTGTCCATAGTCGTTTGTGTTAGAATCTAGTACATGAAACGCCGGACCTTGGGCGGTGTCCTCGCCCTCAAACCCCCATCGGTCTGCACCTGGGGCCTTGCTGGGTTATGGCTTAATGTAATGCAATGTGAAATTAATCCTTAGTGGCGTATCGAATTTTGTGAATATTACGAAGATAATAATTGTCTAATTTCCAAACAGAACTATAACGGATAACGGCTGATTTAATTTCTACACTGTTGAGTTTAAGTGGGGCGTTGGAGAAATAAATTTTGAGTAAAATATAATGAATTCCGTTTTTTGTTGGGATTGAGTTTTTAAAAACTGTGAGACATCCATGATTCAATTTCGGAGATACATTTCTGAATTTTGTTAAAGGCGGATTGAGATTAAATTAATGGGTTAAAGGGAACATAATAATAATAATAATAATAATAATAATAATAATAATAATAATAATAATAATAATAATAATAATAATAATAATAATAATATGTCGTTCTTATATAGCGCTTAATGCCTTAACAAAGCCTCTAAGCGCTTCACATTAAGCTAGTTTCGTGGGCATATATACAGTAATAATATGGAACTGAACCTGATTTTTTCTAGAACGTGGCAACGGGGGAATGTGAACTAGTACTGTACAACACATAATTACCGCCAAAATGTGTTATTGCACGACGATCATAAAGATATTGACACAACTAAGGTTAGAAAAAACGTAATTCTACTGGAGTAGGCTAGAACATTTAGACTATTTTGAGAATGATGTTGCTTCAATTATATTTGTTTACGTCATTGTCTTTTTATTTATTTACTTTAACATACGCCTTTAAATCGGCAGCACTCATTAGCGCTCAACTTGAAAACAAGACAGGGAGTCACTTAAATACTGTACACTTAATACCAATTAAACAAAATTAATACAAACTTTAAAATAACTAAAACTGAGAAATTATCAAATGAACTTAAAAATAATAATATAAAAATATAAATCAAAATGGTGCGTTTATTTGAGAAAAAAAATTTTTTTTTCGAAGGATGCGTTTTAAAAATTTAAGCTCCTAAAGTGAAGGCCATTCAAATAGGACTATGCTATTTCCCGGCAGGGGAGCCTTAATCTTTCAAACCATGGGTGGTATGGTACCTAGTCCACTTCCAACTAACTTTAAATTTTGTATCTGCCCGCATTGGGTTCGAATAGGGGTAATGTAGCTCCTTTCCAGGTTGCCAACTGCTATTCGCGGCACTACATTTTCAAAATTTCCACCTTAGCCCCAACCATGGTCAGGCTAAGGTGACTTGAACTCTAGTTCCCACAAACTTTAAATCTTGTGACTGCCCTTTGAGTGGGAGGGGTAGCGGCTTTACAGGTTGCCAGCATTCCCGGAAGGTACTAAGAATTCACCATCCATGTTGGGAAGATGGGGTTAACTTAAATCACACGTGGGATAGGGGTAGCGGGTCAGTAGTTTAACAATCTAATTTAAGTTCCCCCTCCCCCTCTCCCCTCCGCTAAATGTTGTTGAGATCAATATAACCTCAAATTAGCGAAAGTGCTAGAGAGTTTCAATGGTATATCCCCCTTTCACCCCACCAGTGGCTCTTCGCTCCACTCGCACGTCCGCCCCTGCATATTTTACACCACAACCAGGAGGGTACGAGAAAATACCTACATATTTTGTTGATAGGATATTTACTGGATTAGTTTAATGTTTTCAATTATTTTATTATCATTATCATTACCTCCTACTGAACCTCACCCAGCTTTCACCATAGTATGGCTTGGACCTTGTTGCTGGGGAGGATGTTGGATTTGGCGGTAGGGGGTGCGTGAGGGTCCACCTCACTGCCCCCACCATGGTTGGGGCTGAGGGAATAGAAAATTTTGAGAATAGGGACCTCTCAGGCGCAGATCTAGAGTTTTAGCTCGGTTTCCATAGAATCGCTCACCCTATCGGCGACAGTCGTGACATTTGTTAGTTCACAGACGAATCGGGGTGCCTTCCCGATTGCGCAGGGCAGCTAGCAATGCACTGATTCGTCTGCGTCTGCAACGCAATCGGAAAAAGTTGAACCAGGTTCAACCTTCACTTCGAAA